AATAATAATAATAATAATAATAATAATAATAATAATAATAATAATAATAATAATAATAATAATAATAATAATACCACCATACAACATGGGTAAATAGACAGACAGTATTGTGAGAATTAGGTGATGGCACGAGAATATCTACACACTCTGGCACATTTTGGTTCAACTACAACCCTTTCATGGGGACTGTTTCAATCCTGCCGCCTTGTCAACAATGCTACCTTCATGGGTGTGACTTTTACAATCAGCCCATGTCCTGTGAAACACCCATTTAGACCAAATCAATAAATAAAGACTTAGACTTAACCAAAACATTGGACGGAAGCCCAAGTTTAAAAACCCTCTGGTCTCCCTCATTTCAAAAGGGCCTCACCTATAACTCTCCTGCCGTTGAATATTAAAGCAGGGATGTTTTAAACTCTCAGTTTAACCCCAAAGTTTGAACAATGCATACCAAATTGTACATGTATTTCATTTTAAGAATTCTCCACACTCCATCCTCACGTCAGATGCAGAATTTATCTTTGATCTGTGTGTAAATGCCCGTTGTTGTCCTTTATTTCAAATGTACACAATAAGATCAAATGCTCACCAGCGGCTGCAAAATTATTTGTGGGCGGGGGCTTAATTGTCCCTCCACCCCTCCGGGGGATGAAATCTCCTGTGGCTCGCCACCCATTCCTTTTAAAGAATAAGGAACGAAGCACATTTATTTCAAGGATTTCATAAAATTCTCTCCAAATTATAATCAGCGGTTGGAGATTTAAACTGGATTCAAATAGTGGACATCCTAGTTTAGTCTTTTTTTTTTAAAGGTTGTTTCTAACTGCCTCCCTCTTTCAAACTTTTATTTGGTCCTGCGCCTCTGGAAGAGGAATACTCTTATTTTGAAGTGCCTGTACCCCAGTTGGGTTAATGAAAACCCACAGAGGAAAGCTTGGGTCCTAGTGGGACTGGGGTGGAGGCTGGGGAGGCTGGATAGACCGTCATTTCACAATTCTTGGACTGTCCTGTTTGGACGCCCAGCCCAACCAAGGGGCAAAAAGCAAGTTCCAGAGCCAGGAAGAAGAAGAGAGTGATGGCAGGGAGCCCCTAGCTGCTCCCGTTTTCCCTGGGCGTCTAACCAGCTGGAGTACCCAACCGAGGGGAAGAGGGGCGAGTGAGGACAGGACGGGACGGCGGAAGGGAGGGAGGGAAAGAGCGTCTTTCCTGCTGAGCAACGGTGGCAGCCTTTTCCTCGCATTTACGGACGTTCCCAACTTGGCAAACCAATACCGACCTTTGCTCTCTTTCCCTGGGCTTTCTGGGCTGGAGACGGCGGCTTCGGCCAGGCAGCTCCGCTCGTCCGGCAGCGTGGACTTAGACTCGGGACTTTCCACTTGCGGGGAGGCTTTGGCGGAGTTCTCCGGCGGGTGTTGGTGCTGGTGGCCGCCGCTGCCGCTACTGTGGCCGGGGGCGTTGGCGTTGGCGTTGGCGCTGGGGTTTTCATTCATTTTCTTCTCCATCGGCGCTTGCGAGGCGACCTGCGGTTTGGAAGCGCCGCGCGGGTTTAACTGGAGCATGAGCGTGGAGCTGGCTTCAGGGCTGCTGTGGTACTCTTGGGCTTTTCCCCCGGCGTAGGTCTGGCTCAGCCTGAAATACCCTGGGACGGGGACCTCGGGGTTGTCAATGGGGCACGAGTCAGAGACCAACCTCTGGTAGGAAGGAACGTCGGAAGAGGCGGCCAACTTGGACCTCTTGTCCGAATACATGCAGCAGTTGGTCTCTTCCTTAATATTGGCCGCAAAGGAACAAGTGGGCACCTGCTGGGTAACAGGTTGTTCTATTCGGCACGGCCTGTTGGGCTCTGTCCAATTGTCTACCGGAGGGATGTAGGGATGGACGTTCATGCCCATGGCTTGATGATTGACTTCTCTCTTGGCCAGGGACGGTAGGAGTCCACAGGTTTGCATCCCGTAGGTGCCAAGGTCTGTGCTCGGCGGCATGTACATGCTGGCGCCGTTGGAATAAAAGCTATCGCTCCTGCAGGCGCTGATCAGGGAGTCGACTAGGAAGGTGTTGGCGGCAGGAGAGCTGTTGGGAAAGGACATTTTGGGGAGGGATGGGAAGGCGAGAGAGGGTCTCCTTTGTAGGCTGACATCTCTACGAAAACATTCCCGGTGTAATTGTGGATGCCTCCGCACGACCACATGACGGGCGAGCCAATGAGATTCGAAAACGGCCCGGGAGCCGCGACCTCCCCGCCGGTCACGTGCTCCCCGAGACACGCCGAGCTGCAGCGCAAAGGTGGACAACAGCGACACCTAGGATCCCCGCGAGGCAATGCAGGCGCTCAGCCGGACCGCCGCAGCCCCCTGCCACCTTTCTCCTCCTCTTCCTCCCCTTTCTCTTCCTCTCTCTCCCCCCCATCTCTCTCTGTGTCTGTAACCCCCCCCCAGAACCCCCGTTTTAGGGATGCGTGTATTTGCAAAAAATCAACCCCGCTGCTGATTTAAAACAAGGAAATGCAATAGGCTGTTTATCATTCTTCTTCCCCCGTTCCTTTTTATTACAACCGAAGCGAGTGAGTTGAGCCTGAATTTAAAGCAGTTTCGGTTGGTTTTTTGTTCCAAAAAATGTAGAACATCTACTCTAGTTCTAAGACTGGATAAGCTACACAGAGGGCAAAAGGAAGGTTGGGGAGAAGATGGCATCGAAACATGCAGTGAAAGAATGCAAAATGTAGACCATTGGCCATCATCCTAGTGTGTTTCTGTCTCCAACTGCACTATGGTCCACTTCCATAAACTGGCCTCTACTGGGCCCTCAGAAGCACTGACCTTAGACCGTACAGACTTTTGTCTTTCTCTTCAAAATTACTCTGGGTGGGGAGGGGGGAATCCCCAACCAGTAAGATCTTCCTGACAAAAGAAAGGCATGGAGGGTGAGTTGGGAACAGAGAGAATATCTGCGGGATGTTTGTTCTCCAGAAATGTCATTGTTTGGGAAGAATGCAGGGGTGGGAGACATCTCCCATTTATGGCTTTTCTAAAAGCATTGGCTTCTGACAAGACCCAAAAGGTAACAGAATTGATTAATACAGATTAAGAGGAATCAGAGCGATCAATACAATCCTCATCTACATGCAGTTGGTAATTTTCTTGCTTCTGAAGCTTTTTCAAGAGTTATCCCCTCTGTAGCCACACGCAAGAAAGATACTTTATTAACAAATCAATCTAAGACTTTGTAAAGGATAAGATTAATAGCTCAGATTTAGCATAATAGTGTTCACGTTATGAATTATTGAAAATCATACCATTGATTTTTCATTCCCACCCCCTCCTAACCGAGAAGGTCAACTTTTGTTTTAATACAAATTGTCAGATATAAAAGCCCTTATTACGATAAGGGCTTATTCTGGGTTTTTTTGGTGTGTGTGTACCCCCCCCCCCGTTTTATTAGGTTAAAGAAAAGAGGGGATCACAAACTTTTCTTTTAATATACATATGAACAATATCACATTGCCCAGTACAACAGAAGAAAAAAAAGCTATTTATGTTAAAAGATACTTTACAGTAATGTTATATAATACTGAACTGCTTAAACACCAATGAACTCACCTAAAAGAAAAGCAAACAAAAAATATAGTTTTCTTGGCCTTCATACATTTCAAAAACTACAAGGATTTACAAACCGACCAACCTAAAAATAAAACATTACCTCTGCCTTTTTGAAAATTTAGAGGCTTTTGTCTTTAAATATCCTTTTTTTCCAATCTAGCTTAGGATAAAGTTTTTTCTTCTCTCTCCTATGAAATAAAGCAGGACTGTGAAATGACTGGGTTTCAATTAAAATTTAGAATATGCCTTTCTCCCTTCTCCAGCCCTCTCCTTTCCTTTCCAAAATGTATCTGATGTGCACAGCCCAGCATCCCACATTCACCCTCCATTTTTAAAGGACAAATATTATGCTGCTTCATGGACATATTTGCGGCCATCAGCTCGCCTTTGTTAATTGAATTGGTCCCCCTCTCTTTCTCCTCCTTTCTTTTCAAGCAAAACTTCAGTCAAACCAAACCCCAAACCTTTTCAAGGTCGATTCCTATGCCTCCTTGACCATCTATTGTTGACAAATTGCTCCTTCACCAGCCTACTATCTTCAAAATCATTTTCTATCCTTGGGATGGCCGGGAACGGTTTTCTTCCTCTCTTCCTCTCTCTCTTCCTCTCTCTCTCCCCCCCAACTCCCTTTTAAAAATACTTCCTTGGCCTTTTTCTGCACACCTCCCCCAGCTTTAAAAAAAATTCTCCCTGTGACAATGAGACAGACCTTTCAGAAGCTAATCGCAGCTGTTCAAATACAACATCAATGCCAGGTTAAAAGCGGCGGCGCCTTTTACAGCTTTTGTCTGCACAGGATCCATTGCGACCGAAGACTTTTTAACCTTCCTATCCCCACCCAACCACCGTCCAGGTTTTGCCAAACTCTCTCCCATCCTTGGGGGCGACTCTGGGCCGTGTCCCGCCTGGGTGCGGGGAGCAGAATCCAGACAAGAAGGAGTCTAAAGCGGCCGCCTAGGGTGACGGCGAGCAGAATCCCGCTCGCTCACCTTCAATTTTGAGATCATTATCAGAGCCATGGCTAAGCGTTTGGCCGGGCTGGGAAGCAGACAAAAGTGGAGGTCACGACGCTCTCTCTTTGGGGGGGCTGAGGGTTTTATGGGCTTCCCAGCCATTTTCCCTCGCCCCTCTCCCTCCCTTCTCCTCTGAAAACAAGAAGCCAGACGGGCCGCCGAGTTTAAAGCAACCCAATACCTCTTTTCCCCCTTTCCCTTCGCCTGCGCTTTTAAAATTTTTGCCGTGAAATCTAATCAGGGATTTTAATTCCCACCAAAGGCCATTCCGGACTCCGCAGTCGTTTGAAGAAGGGCCCTAGCAGTGGACCACCGAGGGCATTATCCGTGGTTTTACTTTTTGTTTTATTTTACCTATTCTATTTTATTGGCGTTTGTAGCCCAGTTGTCACGTTTAAAACAATAAGCCAGATCGCGCTCGCCTTTATATCCTGAGAAACTTTAAGGAGTTGGCTAGCTTTCGATTTTGCATTTTTTTTTAAAGTTGGGATGTCCGATATTACCGCCCCAAAGTCTAACCTCTAATTATTTGGGTCCAGATAAAGATGAATTAGGAAGATGCCCTCCTGCTCCTAAGGAAACCTCGCCATGGCCAAAGGCTCCTTTAAAAAGAAAACTGTTTTCAGCTGAGCAGGCAAAGTGATTTGAACAGAAGAAATGGGTATATAAATCCAAACGTAACATTTGTGTAACGCTTCCAGAGGGCGAATAAACATCTTTCTAAGAAGCTGGTTCTTTAGACTCTGCGGGCTTAATGTCACTCAAGTTTTAAATCATATTAAGCCGGAATTGGAGTAATTAACACGAATAAATAAATCAATATTGTGCCATAAATGAGATATACAATCTGCATTACCGCAAAGGGTTTCCTGTTGACTGTTCCATATTTTTTCCTCCAAAACAGTAAAAGCTTTAGAAGCTCCATTTATATGTCCATGATTATATGCAGTAAAATATGTGTTGACACTACTCTTTTCTGTCTGAATAAATAATCGAAGGTAAAAACTGGGGAGGGAGGGGACCTCGTTGCTTAACATTTTAATTTTAATCCTTCAAATTTATGCCATGTGTTATATACCTGGGCAGGGTTTCCCCATTCAAACTCCCACCAGCCCTGAATAATTGCTGGGTCCCCCCCCTCTCCTTTTATTCGCCCTGATTATTAAAGAGGAGAAGGCGAGAGTCCTTTCAATCGAGAAATATTAAACTGTAAAAATGGAAAGCGTAACTTTTGATTATTAAATATCACGAAAAGGCTGGAATTTATCAGAAACAGACAGAACCGGGCTAAGGACGAACTTCTTTTCGTTTCATTTTTTTCCCCTGCAGGAGGAATTTATAAACAGAACTATTTGCTTACGTTTCTCCCTGGTGTGGAGCTGGGTGCATTAGAAGGCTTCCTTTTAATTAAGGCCCATTAACATACAGCCAAACAGCACCGAAGTGCCCCACTCTTAATAATACGAAAATTAAATTATTTCATCTTCCCCATCTATTTCACCATATGCAGCAGCCCAAATATTTCTATGCAGTGAGGGGGAAGAGATATTATTATAGTATTGTGCAAAACCAAATCCACAGACAAAAATCCGGATCATATTTGGACAGCTCCCCCCATGACGTTGGTTACACAAATGATATTCTTTTTACAGGCAGGGGGTGCATAGGATTCCCCCTTAGAGAAATGCATATTTTGCCTTTGTTTCACAGCGAATTGGGAAGCTCCGGGTTCCATATCAAACACTATAAGCTTTTTTCCCCCCCGAAGTGTGGGGAGCGGGAAGGGGTCTGGCAAGACGAATTGGCTTATAGGTGTTTATATATAGTCTTTCTGTTCATCAGAAGCCCTGGAAAAAGCTGGACATAAAGCTATTCGAGTGGCCGGATAAGTCTTATGTTTAAAATCTCGAGCCAGTGTAGTTTTTTGTGGGGAGGGAAATAGTTATCATAATTTAAAAGCTGAGATACACAGACAACAACATAGGCAACAAAATTTTCACTGTCCGAGTTTAGAAACCATGAAGAGAAATCATGAAACAATATTCTAGCAAAGCTAGCCAGAATCAGGATCGCTGGTGTTTTAAAGTCCCCAAAAGGACAAAGCAAATATTGCGAATATTTATCCAATTTAATAGGCAGAGGAGAGACAGACAGATACTTATATAACGCAAAAAATCCTTCAATCAATGTTACATTTTAAAAGCATAATAGAAACAGTAGAAGAAAGGGGAGAAATCTGTTCTCATCTTCAGAGTGGTGCAGCGCGAGCTTCAACTGAAGAAGGAAAGGCAACCAGGCGCCTTGACACTGTCCATTCTCAGAATAATATGCCGTTTTCTTTATGTTTGATTCAAACAGGTCACTAATCAGTTCCAAGACTTTCAATTTTTCATGAGTATTTTTCAGAAATGATTTCGTATTTTTTTAAAAAATTCATTGTTTTAGGTAACCAGAATAACCATGGGTTTCCTTTTAAATAAAAATAAAAATAAATCTGGTAAACAAAGAATCCTGCATTTATTTGTCAAATATGACTTTATCTGGTTTCTTATTTCCTTTCCTTTTTTGGGGGGAGGGGGCTCTCTCTCATTTGTTAGGACTAGAGGGAGAAAGTGGGGGAAATGACATTCTTTGTTTGTTGTATAATTTTTAAAAAGTGCATCTTTGGAGAAATTTACTAATGAACAAATCAGAGACAGATTTCTCTTTCTCTTGAGAAAAAAACAAATTACTTCTTAGATATCTTTTGGAAAACTATTGTGATGCTTCATCCTGCTATGAATGAAATTTAGATCTGTAGTAATTCATTTAAGAAAAGTTTAACTTTTTTCTGGTAAATAATTCTTTTTAAATAAAACAAACAAGTGAGGATACACTCACAAATGTTAGCCAACTATTTTCCCATTAATTAGGATTACATATTTTCCAAATTGTTCAATTTACCATCTCATTAAAAGACACTTTTGGACTTATACCGTATTACCCCCTATCACAAACTGTATATATACACACATACGCACAGCTAGATATAATTGTGAATTTGTATTCTGTGTGTCATATTGTTAATGATGCAAAATCAATTTTAATTGAATATGGTTTGTTTGTATTATATTTGTGAATTACCTTGGAAATAATTTTTGATTCTGTTGTGTTTCCTCACTTCTAGTTGCTTATACATGTTATTGGTGACATTATTATTGTGGGGAAATACCAAGAGTATCAGGACAAATGTATATTCTGGAATATGAGTGCGCCCTCACGTGGAATCTACGTGCATAGCATATGGAGTGTTCTGTTTTCAATCCCTGCATTTTCTTCTTTTTCTTCTTTTGACCATTTTGTTCCCATTCTTTGTTAAAGAAGAATATAAGGATAAATATAGATATGTACAATATATTTAGAATTATTCCTTTAAATGCTTACATTATTTATTTATAAGGGAATGCAAATTCAACTCCCCTTTGTAAAAATGATTAGACATTGAATAGGGCTGATATATATTTTTCATCCTGTAAAGATATTTTTTTGCCTTTATCTGAAGGCAACAATTCAGATTACTTGCATTTCCTGTGAAACATAGACTAGCATCTGCATGTCAGAGTATTAATTTTTGAAGTAATCAGTGTTCCATAGGAAACCAAGGATTCCTTCTCATTTATTTTAGAGGGATTGAGTCAATTTGCTTGTTCTTTTCTTTTAAACAATGTTTCATAAGGCATGATTTATCTACATAAAGAGCAATAATATTTTTGCAATTTATAATGTTACATAGGAAAAAAAACCCTTATAACAATAGTTTTAAAAGAAAATTGTTATTTAAATGGCAATTGAAAAGGATTTTTATAATACACACACTGGTGAAATATCCTGCATGTTTCATTCTAGATAACTACAGAGGAGTGCTCTAAGGTTAGATTGATGGATCCATTGATCTGAATTGGTATGTGGTCCTTCTTTGTTATGCACCTATGAGGACATGCCAGTGTGAGACAGAAAAGGGAGAGGGGGAAACAGGAAGTGAGGAATGGGGTAGGAAGCCCAGAAGAGTAGGTGGTAGTTGAATATAAGAGACAAAGCTTTGAGGCTTCTAATTATTCAGAAAGGTTAAAGGTGATGACCTTGACATCTTGGAAGTTCAAAGGCATATACTTAATTTTTCTGGTTTAAATTTTAAAAAATTAAATTATTCTCCCAGTCTTCTTACATTCTGTTAGTTTAAAGCAAACTGTGCATTTCCTGGTATTTTATTCCTCCAATCTGGCCTTTTAACGAACACAAAGAGAATGCAAACGCTTCCTTTTCTTTTCTATTTTTCCTTTTCCCTTTTCTGTTTCTCTTTAAAAAAAAGTCAAATTGTTTTCTCACTTGCCTCTTTTATTACACTTGTGGAAATCTCTTTCTTTTTCCCACCCAGCCCAAGGTGTACAATACAGCCTAATTAAGCTGTTACAGATCCTGGGTTTTTATGGTGTTGTCTAGACAGTTCAAGGTTTTGTAAACAGCTTAAACAGGCCACAACAACAAAGTGGAGAGAAGAACCTCTACCAAATTCCTTCGGGAAAAAGAGAGAGAGAGAGAGAGAGAGAGAGAGAGAGAGAGAGAGAGAGAGAGAGGGAGAGAGGGAGAGAGAGAGAG